GGCGCCGTACACGTCGGAGGCAGGTTTTCATTCTTCTCTCGGATCGTCAGTGTCGAAACGGAGGCGCGCGGCACCCGCTCCGACGGGCGCCCCCGCGTGCCCGGCGGAGGAGAACAGCGCTGTCCGGGCAAGAGTTCGTGTGGCGCTTGCGGAATGAAACCATCGCTGCACGGCGATGCGAGCGCTTTGGCGAGGTAAGCCAACGGGCGATTCGCGGCCATAGCTTGTGGCCGAATGTGTCGGGTTCCCCGGGGTCGGTGGCCCAGCGCAGCCTGGGCTGCGCGCGATAGGGCCGCGGCCCCAATTCTCCGCCCCTCTCTGCGCGAAGACCAGGCGCGCCCAGCGAAATCTCCAGCGTCCCCCGCCGACAGAATACGCAGATGCGCGTTGCGGCGACAACGCAGCGAGGTCCCGCCTCCATCGTGAGCGCGGCAAACCCTTCGGGCGCAGTCGGGCGGGCCCCGGCGAGCACCCCTCTCGTCGCCGCGAGGTCCTAGCTGAGACGCGGGAGAAAGGCCATCTCCTTTGGCACCACCTCTGCCGTGCGCTCCAGCGGCGGGGCGGGGCCGAAGACGCTGGGCGCAGCTGCATCGGCCTGGGCCTGCTGCCGAAGACAAAATGTCAACGAGGAGGAGGAAGAGGAGGAAGAAGAGGATCAGGACACTCGGCCGTGGGGGAGGGTCCTCCAGCACACACGGAAAAAAAACAGCTGCACGACATCAGGACACGTCATCTCTGCGGGTAGTGGACCAGACATACACTGTGTACAACGCAGCGACATAGTATTCCAGAGTCTCTGGATTCACACTAGAAGTGCATAAGGCGGCTTGGCTCGCACGGCCTAGGGGAGGAGGAGGAGGAGCAGGAGGAGGAGGAGGCGGGAGCCAGCAGCTGAAAGAGGAAGAGGGAACGGAGGTGGAGAAGCAGGCGGACGAGGACGAATGCGACAAATTGTTCCCAACCATCCTGTGGTGTTGGGTCCTCGTTTTGAAGAGACGGTGGCCCGCGTCTCCTCTCCTCCTCGTCCTCTCCTCCTCCTCCTCCTCCTCCTCCTCCTCCTCCTCCTCCTCATCCTCCTCCTCCTCCTCCCTCCTCCTCCTCCTGCCCCCAGGGCATGAACCTGGCGAGGGGGGGCTCGACCAGGGCCCTGGGGTGCACTAAAATCCCCCCCACCTTGCCTGGGGGGGGGGGTTGGCGGGGGTTGGGCGGTGGCCGCTTCCTCTCTCCCTCGCTCCTTGGCTTCCCCCCTCGGCTGCCGGCTCTCCTTCCCTTGCCTTTGCCTCTCTCTCCCGGCTTGCTCTCCCTGGGGGGGGGTGGGCCTCGTGTGGGGCGGGCTCGGGCTCCCCCCCGCGTCCAGGTCCCTCCTGGCGCGGGGTCCCTGTGCTCGTCCCATGTGGGCTTCCTCCTCCTCCTGGGGGCCCCCCTCTCCCCGGCTCCTCCCTCGCTTCGGGCCACCGTCCATTCCCCGTCACACCCCCCCCGCTGGCGGGTGGTTCGGGCTGCTAGGCGGGGATGGGCTCCCGCCAGGCCCTGTGGCGCACGTGCGCCCTTTTTTTTACTGTCGCCGAAGCTTGGAGGGACTCGCTTTTGAGAAAAACGGCCTCGGCGGGGCGCTGACGAGGGACTCGCTTCTGAGTGAACTTTGCGCTTTGAAGACAGGAGCCGTGGCTTGGAGGGTCCCGTTTTTGGGTGAACAGCCGCGGCGGGGCGCAGGCATGGTACTCGCCTCACCGGTTTTGCGCTTTGTGGATTTTATTGCTTCGCAATCGTTCCGAATCCGAATCCGAATCCCTCCTCCTCCTCCTCCTCCTCCTCCTCCTCCTCCTCCCTCCTCCCCCTCTTCCCTGCGTTTCACCCACCCAGTACAGCGTTTCGTAGCCCCATAGGAGCTCCGCGGAAGGCCCCAGTGCTGCCGCCCGCATGCGTCACCCACACACAATTCGGCACACCCCTCACACGTTCCGTGGCCCCATAGGAGCTCCGCCGAAGGCCCCAGTGCTGCCGCCCGCATGCGTCACCCACACCCAAGTCGGCACACCCCTCACACGTTTCGTGGCCCCATAGGAGCTCCGCCGAAGGCCCCAGTGCTGCCGCCCGCATGCGTCACCCACACCCAATTCGGCACACCCCTCACACGTTTCGTGGCCCCATAGGAGCTCCGCCGAAGGCCCCAGTGCTGCCGCCCGCATGCGTCACCACACACAATTCGGCACACCCCTCACACGTTTCGTGGCTCCATAGGGAGCTCCACCGAAGGCCCCAGTGCTGCCGCCCGCATGCGTCACGCACACCCAATTCGGCACACCCCTCACACGTTTCGTGGCCCATAGGGAGCTCCGCCGAAGGCCCCAGTGCTGCCGCCCGCATGCGTCACGCACACCCAATCGGCACACCCCTCACACGTTTCGTGGCCCCATAGGAGCTCCGCCGAAGGCCCCAGTGCTGCCGCCCGCATGCGTCACCCACACACAATTCGGCACACCCTCACACGTTTCGTGGCCCCATCAGTGCTGCCGAGCTGGGCACCCCTCACACGAGGAGCTCCGCCCGAAGGCCCCAGTGCTGCCGCCCGCATGCGTCACCCCCACAATTCGGTAACCCCTCACACGTTTCGTGGCCCATAGGGAGCTCCGCCGAAGGCCCCAGTGCTGCCGCCGCATGCGTCACCCACACCCACGTAACCACCCACACGTTCGTGGCCCCATAGGGAGCTCCACCGAAGGCCCCAGTGCTGCCGCCCGCATGCGTCACGCACACCCAATTCGGCACACCCCTCACACGTTTCGTGGCCCCATAGGGAGCTCCGCCGAAGGCCCCAGTGCTGCCGCCCGCATGCGTCACGCACACCCAATTCGGCACACCCCTCACACGTTTCGTGGCCCCATAGGGAGCTCCGCCGAAGGCCCCAGTGCTGCCGCCGCATGCGTCACGCACCCCATGTCGGCACACCCCTCACACGTTTCGTGGCCCCATAGGGAGCTCGCCGAAGGCCCAGTGCTGCCGCCCGCATGCGTCCCGCACACCCATTCGGCACACCCCTCACACGTTTCGTGGCCCCATAGGGAGCTCCCGGAAGGCCCCAGTGCTGCCGCCCGCATGCGTCACGCCACACCCAATTCGGCACACCCCTCACACGCTTCGTGGCCCCATAGGGAGCCCACCGAAGGCCCCAGTGCTGCCGCCCGCATGCGTCCCGAACACCCAATTCGGCACACCCCCTCACACGGCTTGCTGTGATAGGGAGCTCCCCGAAGGCCCCAGTGCTGCCGCCCGCATGCGTCACCCACACCCAATTCGGCACACCCCTCACACGTTTCGTGGCCCCATAGGGAGCTCGAAGGCGCCAGTGCTGCCGCCCGCATGCGTCACGCACACCCAATTCGGCACACCCTCATTCGGGCCCCAGGGAGTCCGAAGGCCCAGTGCTGCCTCATTGACAATTTCGGCACACCCCTCCACACGCTTCGTGGCCCCATAGGGAGCTCCACCGAAGGCCCCAGAGTGCTGCCGCCCGCATGCGTCCCGCACACCCATTTCGGCACACCCCTCACGCGTTTCGCGGCCCCATAGGGAATGCGTCCCGCACGCCCATTTCGGCATACCCTTCACACGTTTCGTGGCCCCAGAGGGAGCTCCACCGAAGGCCCCAGTCGGTGTGCCCGCATGCGTCCCGCACATCCATTTCGGCACACCCCTCACGCGTTTCGGTCCCATAGGGAGCTCCACCGAAGGCCCCAATGGGTGTGCGCGCATGCGTCCCGCACACCCATTTCGGCACACCCCTCGCACGCTTCGTGGCCCCGTAGAGGGGCTCCACCGAAGGTCCCAGTGCTGCCGCCCGCATGCGTCACCCACACCCAAGTCGGCACACCCCTCACACGTTTCGTGGCCCCATAGGGAGCTCCGCCGAAGGCCCCAGTGGGTGTGCCCGCATGCGTCCCGCACATCCATTTCAGCACACCCCTCACGCGTTTCGTGGCCCCAAAGGGAGCTCCGCCGAAGGCCTCAGTGGGTGTGCCCGCATGCGTCCCGCACATCCATTTCGGCACACCCCTCACGCGTTTCGTGACCCCTCGCACGTTTTGTGGTCCCATAGGGAGCTCCACCGAAGGCCCCAATGGGTGTGCCCGCATGCGTCCCGCACACCCATTTCGGCACACCCCTCGTACCTTTCGTGGCCCCGTAGGGGGCTCCACCGAAGAAGATATTCACAATTGCGGTACTCACAATTGCATATGGTTGGGTCCTTCGCCAGGGTAATTTTCCAGCACGGCGCAAATCCACAGTGTGCCAAGCGGTGAGCATGCAAGATCGGCGAGATGCAAGACTCAAGTCCGGGGGACTCGGGTTGGCCGGACGGGGCCATCGTGAAAATGCCGAGACCCAACCTGAAACTTGACGCGAGCCCCCGCTGCGAACATCCCACGAACACTGGACCCGTCAAAATCCAGGGCGCGCTGGTCAAACAGCGTCGGCAAACCCGAGTTTCCAGCAGGGACCGACCGCCCCGGCATTCCTATAGGCCTGCCACGACATGTTCTTCGAACCCAAACATGGCTCTGGAGGGGAAAACACACACAGACACTATTAATCGTCGATTCCCCGGAAAATGTACGAAAATATGGGAAGTTGGGGGGAAGACAAAAACCCAGAAATTATGGGGAATCTTTTTATTTGTGTGTATTTATCTGTGTGTCCTGGGGCCCCTTGAATGGTCTAAGAACAAAAGCACTGTTCTCAGAGCACGAGCCCGGTGCATCAAAACGGAGCAGTCTCAACCGAACAGCGTCGCCAGACCCGGGCTCCGGTGCACCTCGGGCCCTCCGCCCCCCCGACGAGGGAGAGGCGCGGGGCGGCAGCGGCGGGGCCGGTGGCGAGGCGAGGGCGGAGAGGAGGAGGAGGAGGAGAAGGAGGAGGAGGAGGAGGAGGAGGAGGAGGAGGGGGAGGAGGGTAGGGAGGAGGAGGAGGAGGTAGGAGAGGAGGAGGAGGAGGAGGGGGAGGAGGAGACGAAGGAGGCACCTCTTTCTGCCGCCGCGGGCTCAGCTGTCGACCTCCCCCCCCGATAGGTCCCCGAGGGGCGCGGGACCCCCGGCGTCCACGGCGCGCACCCCGGCCGCGCCCAGCACGAGGGGCACGCTGCACCCCGCCGCGGCCCTCGTGCTCTTCCTGCGCAGGGGGGAAGCGGGGGGGTGGCAGCCCAGCCTTCGTCGAGGGAACGAGGGGCAACGATAGGGGGAGACTGGCACAGGGGGGGGGATGCATCGTGGGAGGGAAGGAGCAGGGGAACGAACACTGACATAAACATCAACTCGGAGGTCCGCGCGGAGTTCTCGGATCCGCGCTGGACTCCCCCGGCGGCGCCTCCGGCGCCGCCCCTGGCGCGCTCCGCGCGCCAGGAAGGGGGGTCCAGCGCCGATCCGAGAAATCCGCGCGGACCTCCGAGTTTTTATGTTTATGCCACTTTTTGTTCCCCTGATGAGGGGGAACGATAGGGGGAGACTGGCAAAGGGGGGGATGCATCGACCTGGAATCGGCGAGACATCGCCGGTAGCTCGGCGACAGGCCTCCGATCGTGAATCCGCACCTCCCTGGGCAGGTTGGGGCTATCGGGCCCCTATCGGCGAGCAATGGGCGATTGGGGGTCGATACATCCCCCCCATGCCTATCCCCCCCCTATCGTTGCCTCCGAGGGAAGGACCCAGACGGTCGGCGCCTCGAACAACATCGAGGAGGAGATCGAGAATCGAGGAGGACGACGGCCATACATACTTACATACATGCATACATGCATACATACATACATACACGCATACACACATACACACATACATACATACATACATACATACATACAGACATACATACATACATACATACATACATACATACATACACACACATACATACATACATAGATACCTACATACCTACATACATACATACATACGTACATACATACATACATATAGTTATACATATGTACATTGAAACATTTATACATGCATACATACATACATACACGCATGCAATCATACATACATACATGCATACATACATATATACATAGCTACATACACACATACAGTACACTTGTACATATATACATGTGTGCAAGCATACATGTATACATGCATACATACATGCATACATACATATATACATACATACATGCATACATACATACATACTTACATACATACATCCATACATACATGCATACGTATCTACATACACACATACATACATGCATATATGCTTACATAACTGCAGTCACATTTACACACATACATACATACATACATACATACATGCATACATACATGTATACGTAATCACATACATTTTATACATATATACATCTATGCCACTATACATGGATACACGCATGCATACATACATACGTGCATGCATACATACGTACATGCATTCATCCATGCAGACATACATGCATACATACATACATACATAAATACGTGTATACATGCATACATGTACACATCTATACAATTCTACATTTATACATGCATACATACATACATACATTCATACAGACATGCATACATACATACATGCATACATGCATATACACATACATACGGTCATACATACATACAAACACACGTACATACATACATACAAACATACATACATGCATACATACATACATACATCGATACATATATGCATACATGCATGCATACATACATTTATACATATATACATATATACAAATGCAGTTATGCATGCATACATACATACATCCATACATACATGCATACACACATACATGCATACATACATACCTATACACGTACATACATACAAGCATACATACATGCATGCATACATACATGTATACATCTATACATATACACAACTTTACATTCACGCATACATACATACATACATACATACATGCATATATACATCCATGCACACATACATACACACATACATACATACCTACATACGTACATACATACATACATGCATGCAAGCATGCATGCATACATACATACATACATACACACATACGTACATACATACATACATACACGAATGCATGCATACATGCATACATGCATACATGCATACATGCATACATGCATACATGCATACATGCATACATGCATACATGCATACATGCATACATGCATACATGCATACATGCATACATACATACATACATACATACATACATACATACATGTGTAGGCATGCATGCATGCATGCATACATACATACATTTAAATATAGACATCTATAGACAATGCTGAACAGGGCCGCAGCCCCTCACACGGCCGGGAGTCGGCTCAGGGACAGCCCCGCACCGGCCCACAGGACGCGGAGCACCGGGGACACCACAAGGTACCGATACCGCTGCTCCCTGGACCTCTCCTGGGGTACGTTCGGACCGAAACTTCGAGGCGCGAGTCAAACGGTGGCGGCGAGGGCCTCCCCAGAGGCCCAGAAAGGGGCAAACGCGGACGAAGGATGGCGGTAGGGGTACATTTTTTCCTCCGCCGAAGGACAATAAGACGACGAGACCACGAGCACAGAGGGGGGAACGAACGACGGGGCGACAAGAGAGAGGAAGGAGACGCAATTGTCATTGCACCGGCTTTGCAGACGTGCTGCAGCGGATTTCTGCGTGGATTTCTGTGCGTGGACTCTTGCCCGAAGCGGCGAGTGAAAAACGAAAAGAATTTCGCGTGGATTATTTTTGGTCTTCACTCCTGGCCAAAAAACAAATCTGCACGAAATGCACTCTGAAATCCGGCGCGAAATTCTCCGGGACTCTCTGGGCCCATCCCATCGTTTTCCGAACGACATCCGCTCTGCGGTGTGGGCGCCCTGATGCTTGCCTTCTGTCGGGCGTGTCCCCCTACAGGGGGATTTTCGGCGAAGAATTAAAAATACCCCAGAAATGCTTCAAAAAGGCAAAAAAATAGTCAAAGAATGCTCCCCAGACCATTTTTTCACTATTTTTTACTTTTTAATGTTTTACTTTTCGCCGAAAATTCGTCGAAAATCCCCGACACGCCCGACAGAATGCTTGCCCTCGGAGGGCCTCCCGGTGGCAGCCATGTTTCCCCCTCTCCTCCTGACCCTTTGGGCCCCCCCCCCCCCCGTCATGATCTTCTCCTGTTCCACCCGCTCTGAGCACCCTGGCCGCGCTGCCCCACCTGAACCCCTAACCTCCGAAAACTCTGACCGCCCTGCCTTTGTTCACTTCTCCCTTAAGGCCCCTCTCCCCTTGGGAAACTCGGCGGCGAGCGAGGGGGGGGGGGAGTGAGGAGAAGGTCTTCTCAGAAGGCGCCGGGACTTTTCAGAAACCCTCGCGCCCTTTTGAGAAGTTCTTCGCGTCTTCACAGAAGGCCAGAGGATGTCCGAGCCCTCTGCGAAGGCCCGCCCCTTCTCAACTCCCCCTCTCGCTCGACGCCAGGCAAGGACAAGACGCCGATACTGCTGGTTCCTAAGCCTCTCCTGGGGTGCGCTCCGACCATCGAAGAGGACAAAACCACAGATAAGCACAAGCTTCTGGCGCTCCCGAGCGGTACGGCCAGAAAGCGCCCGCCACGACGCACTTACCGGAAGCTGTCTCGGTGCGCGCGTCGCCCCTGGGGGGGCCGAGGCGCACGCGGCACTAGCACGTTGGGGTGCCGCCGATCCGTCGACCCTGAGCCTCGCAGGGTGCCCCGGGGCAGCCCACCCGTCGGCACTCCCTCCCTCCTCCCTCCTCCCTCCTCCCTCCTCCCTCCTCCCTCCTCCCTCCTCCCTCCTCCTCCTCCTCCTCCTCGTCGTCGTCCTCCTCCTCCTCCTCCTCCTCCTCCTCCTCCTCCTCCTCCTCCTCCTCCTACCTCCTTCCTTCCTCCTCCCTCCTCCCTCCTCCTCCTCCCTCCTCCCTCCTCCCTCCTCCCTCCTCCCTCCCCCCTCCCTCCCCCCCCTCCCTCCTCCTCCCCCTCCTCCTCCCTCTTCCCTCCTCCTCCCTCCTCCCTCCTCCCTCCACCCTGGGCCCACCCGTCGGCAGTCCAGCTTCCCATCCCGCGTGCCCGCCAGAGGCCCTCCGGCTGCCCTCTCAGCCCCAGGCGTACAGTCTCTCCTGGGACTTCGCTCCTTTTGAACCTCCGTCCTCACGAGGAACTGGTGGACGCCCTGGTGGTGACATCCCCAGGCTTGGGTTCCCTTTCATGGTCCTAAGACCTGGCGGCGAGCGGGGGGGGGGGAAGTGAGAAGGAGAAGGCCTTCTCAGAATGCTCGGAAGTGCCTCGGCCTCCTGAGAAGTCTTCTAAGCCTTCCTCGAAGACGCAGGAAACTTCTCAGAAGGCGCAAGGACCTCTGAGAAGTCCTACCGCCTTCGGAGAAGGCCTTCTCCTTCTCACTTCCCCCCCTCGCTCGCCGCCGAAAGAATCTGGGAGGCCAAATGAGGCCTGCGTGAGCAAGGCGGGAGCGTGAGGTCACGGGGCGTGCGCAAGAGGAAGTGCGCACACTGGCACATCCTGTGAGCTGATGATTCTGAGCATGCCTGAACGAGTTTCGGGTGGTCGCTTTGGGTATGGTCATTCTTGAATTTGCCCAGGTGGAAATTTCTTATTCGGCGTTTCGACATTGGGCGGAAGGGGGGGGAGGTGGGAAAGGGCTCCAGACCTCTGCGTAACGCGACTGTTCGCAGCAGTGCGTCCTGTGGGGGAGACTCCACTTGCTTGAAACAGGCACCCAGATCAGCCAAGATCTACTCCTGGGGCGGGGGCGAGGGCCCGCGCCGAGCGGCAAAACATAGAAGAAGAAAACGATCACCAAACGAACTTCGAGCGCGGCGGTGCCCTTCAATTAAAGAGCCCCTCGTTTAAACAATCAAAAGGAGCCCGACCCTTGGCTTAGGTCGGGCATGCCCCCCTACAAGCGGGCGTTGGGCGAAATGCGAAAAATACTCCAGCAAGAGAAACCAATAACAAAAACAGCATCGTCCCCGTTCTCTTTTGTTTGACTAATTTTGAAGATTCCTCCTGTAGAGGGACAGGCTCCTCCTCCTCCTCCTCCTCCTCCTCCTCCTCCTCCTCCTCCTCCTCCTCCTCCTCCTCCCGACTTCACCGTTGGCACGGCCCGCGGCCCGCCTGAGCACCAGCGCGTGCCCGCCGTGCTCGCCGCGCTCGTCGTCCGCGCGCAGCTCGAGGCGGCAAGAGGCGGCCGACGCCCAGGCCTCTGCGCGCGCTGGGCCCCGGCGCAACGCCCCTTCGCTGCCGGAAGTCGACCCCCTCCTCCTCCTCCTCCTCCTCCTCCTCCTCCTCCTCCTCCTCCTCCTCCTCCTCCTCCTCCTCCTCCTCCGCTCCTCCTTCAGCCCTGCCCCTCCCTTCCTTCTCACTTGCGCGCTCCTCTTTTGCGCGCGCTGGGATACAAACTATGCACATACACCGATTGTGGCCAGGTCCATCCTGCGCCCAGGATCGGTGCGTACGCCCTCCTGCCGGTCAGGAGGGCATATATGCACCGATCCTGGGCCAAGTAGGGGTCTGGCCACGATCGGTGCATGTGCATAGACCTCTTCGCCCGACCCTCTGGTGAACAATTTCCTGTCCGGCGCTTCGAAATTGGGCGGAACGGGGAGGGGAGGGGAGGGGGGGTCTGGCTCTGGACCTTTGCTCAGTGCGACTGTGCGCAGCAGTGCGTCCTGCGGGGGAGACTCCACCTGCTTGGAAGAGGCGCCAAAAACAGTCAAGATCTACTCCAGGGGGGAGGGAGGGAAAAGGAGGGTGCGAGGGCCCGCGCCGATCGGCGAAGCAATGAATAAGAGAACGATCACCTGGTGGCGACCGAAATTCGGCGCGGCCGAAATGCGTTAGCAAAAATTTCGGGTCGCGGATGATACGGGGAGGGCCGACATGTTCCGACCGCACCCGAGTCTGACCAACATGTTTGGTCCGATGCCGATTCGAATTCCTGCTTCGGTCATAAATCTGAACGCCCTACGTGTTCGGCCACAAATTCGGGCGCCTTTCCGGTTACACATGTTCCCCACATCCTCAGTGGGGTGCTTGCTTTCTCTGGACACCCCCGCACAGGAACAAGCACACACCCGCATCGTCATCATCATAATCATCAGACTCGTACTCAGAACCTCCATTATGATCATCATCATCATCATCATCATCATCTTCATCATCATCATCATCATCATCATCATCATCATCATCATCATCATCATCATCAGCAGCAGCAGCAGCAGCAGCAGCACCATCCTCATCATCATCACTAGCAGCATCATCAATCAGCAGCAGCAGCAGCAGAAGCAGCAACACCAGCATCACCATCATCGCCATGATCATCACAATTATCATGATCATCAGCGTCATCATCATCAGCAGCATCATCATAATCAGCACCATCAGCATCATCATTATCAGCATTAGCATCATCATCAGCACCAGCACCACCATCATCATCACTATCATCAGCAGCATCAGCATCAGCATCATCATCATCAGCTTGCAATCCTCCTCATCGCCAGCATCATCATCATCAGCATCATCATCATCATCATCCTCATCCTCATCCTCATCCTCATCCTCATCATCCTCATCACCATCATCATCCTCATCATCCTCATCATCCTCATCATCCTCATCATCATCATCATCATCATCAGCAGCAGCATTCTCATCGCACGCACTCGCGCGCTTACTCAATCACTCATGTACCCATCTGGAAAAAGTTTCGAGCGGGAGCCTCTTCTGTGAGTGAACTGTGAAGAAGCCTCAAGCGGGAGCCCCGAACCCCGCACTTCATGTCAGTAAAACGAGCGGGTCATCGGAAACCTGCAACTCTCGTCACGGTTGTGCTCCTGAGGCCTGAATCCGAAGAAGGTTTCGAGCGGGAGCCAAGTCTTTGAATACATGTATTACGAAGAAGCCTCAGGCGGGAGACCCCTCCCTGTGGCCCCCCCCGCTTCATGTTGATAATCCGAGCGGGTCATCGGAAACCTGTAACTGTCGTCACGCTTGAACTCCTGAGACCTGAACTCCTGAGACCTGAATCTGGAGGAGGTCTCAAGCGGGAGCCTCGCCTGTGAGTTGTGAGAAAGTCTCGAGCGGGAACTCTCGCCCAATGGGGCACTCAGATTAGGAATCCGAGCGGGTCATCGGAAACCTGCAACTGTCGACACTGTGGGGCTCTTGAGGCCTGGATCTGGAAGAAGTCTCAGGCGAGGGCCCCGTCCGTGAGTGAACATGCGGGCAGTCTCGAGCGGGAGCCCCCCCCCCTTATGAGGCCCGCGCTTTACGTTAGTAATCCGAGCGAAGCCGTACAGGTGCAGGTCTCTTTGGACGCCCGAAATGGGTACCGAAAAAATGGGCACAATGCCCAACAGCAAATGTTGCCCCAAACCAACGGCGGCCGCTGTTGGGCAGGCGGCCCTCCGTCTCAAAGGGACACGGGCCGCGGCGGCGTGGACAGCGAATCCTGTTCAAAATGAACAGGAACTGCTGTTGGGCACTGTACCCGTTATTTCCGTACCCAGTTCGGGCGTCCAGAGTCTCACAAGTCCCACAGGTCTCACATGCCACACAAGCCCCACAGGACACACGGGCCGCACAGACCCCACAGGCCCAGCACCGGCCCCGCAAGTCGCACGGGTCCATGTGATGTTCTCGCCTCGCGCGCAGGTCCTGCAGGTCGTGCAGGTCCCACACGACCCATTCATACCGAAGCTGGGCTGGCAGGTCCCACAGGTCCCACAGGACCCATAGATCCCACGGGCCCCACGGGTGTTGCAGGTTCCCTCACAAGTCCAACGGGTCCCACAAGTTCGCGAGGCCCCACTGGGCCCACATGTCCCAAGGGCCCCAGAGGTCCCACAGTGCCCGCAAGTTCCACAAGTCTCACAGGTCCCACAGAGCAAACAATTTCCACAGGTCCCACAGACCCCACAAGTCCAAGAAGCCCCAAATGCCGCACAACTCCCACGGGTCCCACACGTCCCAGAGGTCACATTCTGGCATCCCAGCATCTTGCCATCACAACTATCGCTAATAGTCGATGATGATGATGATGATGATGATGATGATGATGATGATGATGATGATGATGATGATGATGATGATGATGATGATGATGATGATGATGATGATGATGATGATGGCGACGACGACGATGATGATGAGGATTATGATGCTGATGACGACTCTCATGTGCACTGAAGGACTTCTTATGTGGGGTCCCTCTGTCAGGGTAAATTCGGTCACGCACTTCTGGCTGATACGCACTGGACGCCATGAGACCCGTGATGGCCCCGTGGCCCGGAGCCGGGCGAGATCACCCGCTGCGCGAAGGAGGAGGAGGAGGAGGAGGAGGAGGAGGAGGAGGAGGAGGAGGAGGAGAAGGGAGGAGGAGGAGGAGGAGGAGGAGGAGAAGGAGAGGAGGGAGGAGGAGGAGGAGAGAAAGGAGGAGAGGAGGGGAGGAGGAGGAGGAAAGGGAGGAGGAGGAGGAGGAGGAGGAGGAGAGAGGAGGAGGAGGAAGGAGGAGGAGCAGGAGGAGGAGGAGGAGGAGGAGGAGGAGGAGGAGGACTCAGGGGTGGGCCGATGGCCGCCACCGCCGCACAGCCGCACCGCGCCCCAGACGCCCGGCGCCATGAGAAGGTGGGGTCGGGATCCGCTCTGCTCTGCGAAGGTGGCGCCACGACCTGTGCTGGAGGCGGCCAGGGGTCTGAACTGGTCTGGACTCCAGAAGATCGGTCACACAGGGGCTGAAGCCAAACCCACAAAGATTTGTCCCCAGACCCCTCCCGGGGCCCACCTGGTGCAACTGCTCACTTTTTGGATCCGCCTCTGACGGCCCCGGGACCCGACAACGGCCCCCCGAGCCCGAAAAAGGCATCATAACCAGAACCTTGCACCTGCCCGCCCTTCTCGCTGGCCAGACGCAGTGCTGGGCCACCTCAGACACCCGCAGACGGCTCCATGACTGGAGTCCTCCTAGATGCGGTCCGAGTCGATGGGGTCGGAGAATTGTATCGCCGACGCATCGGCGATGCATCGACGATGCAGAAACAATGTCGGCGATACAGAGGCGACGTCGTCGTGGCGAAATCGGGCTCGGCATCGAGCCGCATCGCCGAAGCATCGGCGATGCGGCGAGATCCTCCGACACCACCTACCAGAACCCCATCCGAGAGGCCTGGATGGGCTCGCCGCCGACCCTGGTCAGAGGAGGTGGCCGGGCGGCAGCCGCCGACACGAGGAGGAGGAGGAGGAGGAGGAGGAGGAGGAGGAGGAGGAGGAGGAGGAGGAGGAGGAGGGGGAGGAGGAGGATAAGGAGGAGGGGAGGAGGAGGAGAGGAGGAGGAGGAGGAGGGAGGAGGAGGGAGAGAGGAGCGGGGAGGGAGGGGAGGAAGGGAGGGAGGGGAGGAGGAGGGGCGGGGAGGGAGGGAGGGGAGGGAGGAGGGGGGGAGGGAGGGGCGGGAGGGAGGAGGAGGACGAGGAGGAGGAGGATGACGAGGAGGAGGAGAGGAGAGGAGGAGGAGGAGGAGGAGGAGGAGGAGGAGGATGAAGGAGGGAGGAGGAAGGGAGGAGGAGGAGGGAGGAGGAGGGGAGGAGGAGAGGAGGAGGAGGAGGAGGAGGAGGAGGAGGAGGAGGAGGAGGAGGGAGGAGGAGGGAAGGAGGAGGAGGGAGAGGACGAGAGGAGGAGGGAGGCGGAGGAGGAGAGGAGGAGGAGGAGAGGTGGCCTGTGAGGGCCTGTGCAGGTCCCCGGGGCACGCAGCAGGCCGAGCCGCTGCGCGGCGGGCCGGCCGCCGCCCCGCGGGCGCCCCCTGGCCGAGCGGCCCGGCGCCCGCGGCGCCCGCGCCGAGGCGCGGCGAGGGCGCGTGCGCCAGCAGCAGGACGCGCACGCCGGCCTCGGAGGCGAGGCGCCTCGGGGCCCGCTCGGAGAGGGGGGGGGCGCCAGCCTAAGACGCAGCCAGGGCGAGGCGCCATAGCCAGGGGGGGGGGGCGCCAGCCTGAGACGCAGCCTAAGAGACGCAGAAAGGGGGGCGCCAGCCTAAGGCGCAGCCTAAGACGCAGCCAGGGGGGGGGGGGGGGGAGCGCCAGCCTGAGACGCAGCCGGGGCGAGGCTGTAGGAATCCGGGCGGGGGTGCATCCAGACGCCCTGGGAGCTCTAGCGGCTCTCTCTGGGCGCCTGGGGAGCCCGCTCGGAGAGGGGGGGCCATTCAGCCTAAGACGACGCCGGGACGAGGCTGTAGGAATCCGGGCGGGGGTGCATCCAGACGCTCTCTGGGAGCTCTCGCGGCCATCTCCGGGGCGGCAACTGCCGGGAGGTCTTCTGAGACGAAGCCCCGACGTAGATATAAACATGTGGGCGCGGATACATCGAGACGCCCTGAGAGCTCGCGGCTCTGGAGGACGCCTCCGGCGCCGCGGCCTCGTCATGGAGCCTTATTGGAGCGCTCTGGGAGCGTTCACGGAACGCTCTGGAACGGGTTGATTAGTGTGTATCGTTCGTCGGGGAGCACTTCCCACAGAGGTGCAAATGGGGGGACAAAATAAAGTGGCATAGCCACAAAAACTCGGAGGTCCGCGCGGATTTCTCGGATCGGCGCTGGACCCCCCTCCCTGGCGCGCGGAGCGCGCCAGGGGCGGCGCCGGAGGCGCCGCCGGGGGGCCCCAGCGCCGATCCGAGAAAAAATCCGCGCGGACCCCCGAGTTCTTATGTTTCTGCCACCTGTTGTTCCCCTCGTGGCGCCCTGGGAGCGTCCGAGGCACGCTCCGGAACGGGCTGATTGGTGTGCCTCGTTCGTCGGCGGGGAGCCCTTCCGACAGAGGCGCAGAGCCGGTGGCTCCGAAGTCGGGGCCCGCCCTCCGCCCTAATAACCCCCTCGCGTCTTGCAGCAGACACCGCCAGGGGCGGCTCGCTGTGGCCGCCCTCCGCCGCCGAGGGTCGGGTCGGGCCAAAGGGGGGGACAGCAAAGGGGGGGTTCGAGAATCAGCTCACGCAGCTGATTTTCCCGGCGCCCTCCCGGCGCCAGAGGGCGGCCACGTATCGAGGAATGGGCCCCTCGGCGGGGCCGAAACCAGCTGCGTGCGGCAGATTTCGTGACCGGCCCGAGAGGGGGCCCTCTCGAGAGGGGGCCCCCTCCGGCCGGCCCGGGCCCGCCCCCCCTATAGGGGGATATATCCCCCCCTTTCGCCCGGCCCGAGAGGGCGAAAGGGGGGGATATATCCCCCCCTTTCGCCCGGGCCCGCCCCCCTATATAGGGAGCCCACAAAGGATGTACGCGCCCAGCTATGTACATGAACACGGCCCCTCGGTCCGCGAGGCCGGCCGCGTTATACGAACATTTGCGCAGTGCGAACTCTCGAAACCAGCGTGGATTCATGTACACGTACGTCCTTTTTCCGCTCCTGACTATAGGGCGAAAGGGGGGGATATATCCCCCCCTTGCGCCCGGCCCGAGAGGGGGCCCCCGCCGGCCCCGCCCCCCTAGAGCCCCGACCCCTCGGGGCGCCGGCGGGGGGCCCGCGGGCCGGCTGCCCGCGGCGCGAGCACCTGCCTCTTGTCGTCGGCGGCGAGGCGAGGCAGTCCTCCTCCTCCTCCTCCTCCTCCTCCTCCTCCTCCTCCTCCTCCTCCTCCTCCTCCTCCTCCTCCTCCTCCCGCGGGGGCACTATATATACAAGGCCGGTTGGCCGGCATGCGGGAGGAGGGGAAGGGGAAAAGGCGGCCAGGGGGGGGGGATAAAAGGGCGAGCACTCAGAGGCACCCCCGCACCCACATCCCTCCTCGAAATCAAACGCGAGTTTTTTTGTCCCGCGACGCGGCGGCGCCCCAAGACCTCAAACTCTCGGCGTTCGCGCCGGAACTGGGGACTGTAGACACAAGCCTCTGACCCCGCGGGCCGCGCTTCGCGCGTCGATCAGCATCAACAAACTTATGTTTGATTTCGAGGGGGGTTGTACACTATGAGAGGAGGGCCTATGACGAGGATTACGAGGAGGAGGAGGAGGAGGAGGAGGAGGAGGAGGAGGAGGAGGAGGAGAAGGATGGGGGTAGGGAGGAGGAGGAGGAGGAGGAAGAGGAGGAGGAGGGGGAGGACTGAGACGAATACGACTACATCGAGTCCCAGCCGGAGCCCACCGATGGCGCCTGCCTGGGGCGATCCAGCGGCCAGACCCCACGGAGGCCTCGCCCGACTCGAGCGCGAGGCCCCTCTTGGGGGGTCGGCGGGCATGGCCTGCAGCTGGGGAGGCCGCGCCGCGCGCCGCATCTCTCCCCCGGCGCCGCAGGGCCCCGAAGGACCCCGACCCCCTCCCCGATCGCAGGAGGAGGAGGAGGAGGAGGAGAAGGAGGAGGAGGAGGAGAACGAGGAGGAAGAGGATGGAGCAGGAAGGAGGAGGAATGAGAGGAGGAGGAGGAGGAGGAGGAGGAGGAGGAGGAGGGAAGGAGGAGGAAAGAGGAGGAGGAGGAGGAGGAGGAGGAGGAGGAGGAGGAGGAGGAGAGGGAAGGAGGAGGAAGAGAAGGAGGAGGAGGAGGAGGAGGAGGAGGAGAAGAGAGGAGCAGGAGGAGGAGGAGGAGGAGGAGGAGGAGGAGGCGAACTGAGAACAATCCCAATATGCCACATTGTTCCCGCCTCATGGCTTTAACCCACCACGTAGACGACGAGGAGGGGGAGCAGGAGGATGAGGTGAGAGATCAGGAGAAGTGGAGGACGGGGGCACTGCTCCTCCCCGCCCTCCGCGCGAGTAGACTCGATGTCCAGAGCGCTGATGCCTAGCGTGGAGGGAAGCCCAGGCGCCGTCACCTCATCCCCCCCCCTCCTCCTTCTCTACCTTCTCGTCCTCCTCCTTCCCTCCGCCCCACGGGGAGAGAAAGGTGCGTGAGCTCCTCAGCGCCCTCGCGCTCCAGCCGAGCCGCCACCGGTGGCTGAAGCCTCGCGGAGGGGGGCCCATCCGACCTCCCCACCCCCGCGCCAAGCCCAAGAGATCGCCAGAGCGAACGTTCCCAAGGACATAATCGACTAAGACAGGACTGCTCGGTCTAATTACGCGCTGGGCTGTTCAGCACACGCCAATGATGGAGCGACAACGACGACTCCCTCCAACCAAAATCAACTCAAAATCCAACTCCACATCCAACCAAAATCATCCCTCCTCCCTCCTCCCTCCTCCTCCCTCCACATCCAACCAAAATCATCCCTCCTCCCTCCCAAAACCAAAAACCAACTCCAAAATTCAACGACTCCCTCCTCCCTCCTCATCCACATCCAACCAAAAATCAACTCAAAATCAGTGCATGGAACCCTCGCGGGATCCGCCCTGGCCAATTGGCACGCTGGGTCGATTTGGTGATGGCCCCGCGGCCCGAACCAAGCCAACAGAGGCCGACAATGGCGAAACACGTAATCGCTCCTCGTCATCATCCTCCTCACCCGCCCACTTCCTTATACGTAAATATATCCTCCCTGTTGGGCGTCACGTAATGGGGGGATCATAAATGGGGGGGTGGCGAGGGTGGTCCGAAAAGGTACCTAAACGGTACCTAAACGAGCCCCCTTGGGGCTCCGCAGGGGCCCGACAGGGGCAGGAAAGGGGACCGTTTCTGACCCCCCCGTCTATGACCCCCCCATGAAGCCACGCCCAACCCTGTCGCATCACCAGCCTTGTCGGTAGGCTGGCCCGTGGGATTCGCGTGAGACTGCCTCACAATGTGCACTGCCCCAAAACTGGCGACTTCCAATAAGTACACTGATGGAAACCAGGCCCTTTCCAAAACGGGGCTCTCGCATCAGTGCCGCGTGCAATCACCCAGAAGCTCGCAACAGGTAGACCGATGGAGGCACTCTTCAAAATTAGGCTCTCGCATGAGCGCCACGCAGAAATGCTTTAAACGCTAACAACAGGTACGCGGGAGGAGGCTGAATCCTTTTTCAAAAGGAGCCTCACGCCCTAGCGCCGCGCATACTCGTGTTAAAAGTTGGCCACAGTAAGACGGGCGCAGGCCAGGTTTTTCTGCAACATGGGGCTCTCGCCAAGACTTCCTCAACACATACGACCACGAGCGGACACATGTACAACACTTACACGAATGGAGGCCGGTACTTTCTCAGACTGAGACTCTCGCCGCACATATGTGTCTGAAAGCTTTTGGCGGTTACACGAATGGAGTGCGTCTCCTTTTCAAAACCGAATGCTTGCCCCAACACCGTGTACCTTTGTCTCATAAGCTTGCAACGCTTACAGATATGGAAAACTGTGTGTTCTCAAAATGGGGTTATCGCGTGAGCACTGCGCCTAGGCCATACAACAACTACAAGGAGAGGCACCGTTACGTTTTCAAAATGGGGCTCCCGCGGCAGCGCCGCGCACATTCGTCTCACCATGCTGCTTCATGTTTAAGCATGAGTGATGATTGGTCTCAAGATGTGGTTATCGCTGGATACCCCCCACGAGTGAAACGACAATAGACTTGGTCATGTGTGACAACCGCACGGGCTTGAGGCAGCAGAAGCCCTGGGTGCGTTGCTGGCCCTCTGGACAAGACCTGGAAACGTCGGCGCGGTGCACTCCGCACCCACACTCCGGCCTGGAGGGATATCACGAGCCGCTGCTGCGCGGACCTCTCCTGGTGCACGCCCTGGCCAAGACCTCGAGGCGAATACCGTCGGGGCGTTGCCCTAAGGAGCCCTAAATGAGGAACGAGGCCCCTTTTCTCCAGAAGTTCCATTGGGCGCCCGAATTATCCGGGGTAACTCGGGTCCGGGGTAAGTCGGGTTTGGATTCCCGAAAAAGGAACCCGAGATATCCCTGACCCGAGTTACCCCTGATGATTCGGGGCTCTGGACGCCCGAGTTATCCGGGGTAACTCGGGTCCGGGGTAACTCGGGCTTGGATTCCCGAAAAACGAACCCGAGTTGTCCCTGACCCGAGTTACCCCTGATGATTCGGGGCTCTGATTCCATTTCGGCTTCCCCTCGAGCATCCAAGGATCACCTGGGGCAACATGTGAAACAATGCAGGAACACGGAGCGCCTCCCCAACGAAAAGGGCTCCTTATTCAGAGCCCCGACTGCATCCAGCCGTGAGGACTGGGGATTGGGCGTGGCTCAATGGGGGGGGTGAGTCACAAATGGGGGGGGTCAGAAGAGGTCCCCTTTCGTGCCCCTTTCGGGCCAATCCAGAGCCCCAGGGGGCTCGTTTAGGTACCGTTTGGGCACCTTTTCGGACCACACTTCGCCACCCCCCCATTTATGATCCCCCATTACCAGCGCCCGGGAGTTCGAGGACGAGGGCCGGCAGAGCGGGCATCCCCTCCTCCTCGGCTGGCCCTCCTCCTCGCTGCTCCACGGACCTCTCGGGGCGCGCTCGAACCAACAGTGCGCGGAGAGTCCGGCCGTGGGCACAGGTGAACGGAAACTCCTCCTTCTCCCCCCTCCTTCCCCCTCCTCCTCCTCCTCCTCCTTCCTCCTCCTCCTCATCTCCTCCTCCTCCTCCTCCTCCTCTTTCCCCCTCCTCCTGCTCCTCCTTCTCCTCCTCCTCCTCCTCCTTCCCCCTCTCCCCCTTCTCCGCCTCCTCTTCCTCCTCCTCCTCCTCCTCCTCCTCCTCCTCCTCCTCTTCCTGCTCCTCCTCCTCATCCTCCCCCCCACTCCTGCGGCGGGTGCCGCGGACCAACAAAAAATAGTTCCGGGCTATCCAAGACGGGCGGCGTTACCAGCATCATCTCCTCCTCTGACGGTCCTCCCCGTCCCCCCCCCAAGGCCCAGACTCCCGACGCCATGATTTTCTCACAACGTGCATACCGGGGCTGCCGTTTCAACCCGGGTCGTTTCCTGGACGTCCACTGAGGTAACCGACAGCGGGTGGAAGCATCGGGCAAGAGCACACCAGGAAAGTTGTCCAAAAAATGGGTTCGGCAGACTTTCTCGCCACACAAAATAATGGACAAAACATGTGCGCGACATTGGCCCGCGCGAAACTGCTTCGGACGGAATCTAAAATCATACACTCTTCACACTGGCGGCAGTTGTGTCGCGCGACTGCCACGCGGCGCGGGCGCCGCGGCGCCCGCCCCTGTCGCGCGCCCTCTCCAGTATGTAGCGATCGCGTGCCGATCGTCGGGGCTCTGCGGAAACGGCGCGTTGCCGCGAAGGGCCGAATCCAGCGCCGCATCGGCACCCCGCGCCGCACGAAAGAAGCAGAGGCGCGCAATGGGCCGCCCAGGGCAGCCTGCGCCGCGGCGGTCGAAGAGACCCCCCCCCCAGCCAGAACAGCACCAGCAGTGGCCATCGACCACGGATCGGCTGCACGTAAGACTGACACTGGGCAAGAGTGACCTTTGGTGCGCGGCTTTTTGGGGGGCGAGAGGAGGCCAAACACAAGCGCGCAAGACGCTACTATCGCACCGAGCACGGCGATCGGGGGGGCCCAGTGAGCGCGCACCAAAGGTCACTCCGGCGAAGGGTCACTCTTACGTCTAGTCGAACGGAAGAGGGGGGGCGGGCATCGACCGCCGCGCCGCGGTGGTCGAAGGCGCCTCCGTGCTCCCGAGGCGCCGGCGCGCCACCGCGGGGCTCTCGCCCCCGCGGTCGGGCTGGCGCCCGAGTGCCCGGGGGCAGGCGTCAGGGCGACGAGTGGGCCACGGGCCAAGTCCCGGTCGCACCGGAGGGAGCCCGAAGAGCAACGACCCCCCGACCCACTCCCGAGAACGATACTGTAAGGCCTCTGGGGGCCCCGGAACAGATCGGGCATGCCCAAGAAATATGTGGCGCGTGGCGCGCCCAACATCGTCGTCCACCACCCCAGACATATCGTCCATGCCCGAAGAAACTGCGCTTCGCCTGGAAAAAATCGTGCTTCGCCGGGGAAAAATGGTGCAATTCCGACAGGTGCGCGCGCCGACAAAAAATATGCTGAATATTGTGCGTGGCCGATTTTCTGGCCCCGGCAGTAAGGCTGAAAAAATGTGCAGAATATTGGGCGGGACCGAAAGATGCAAAGGTAACTGCCCCCGAGCATCGGGCTCGCCCAATCTCCATCGGGGCACGCGCCCTGCCCTGGGTGGGGGGCCAGTGGACGCACCCCACGCACGGCGACGGAAACAATGAAACTGCCTCAATGGCAATCGCTACCTGAACCAGCGGCGCCTGGGGGCCCTTCCGAGCTGCCCAACGGGCATCCTGCTGGCGCCGCCATGACCGAACCGCCCACGCCACCTCTCCCCCCGCGCGCTCTCCACCGTGGCCCTCTCCTGCGGAACGCACCCCCCTCGTAGACCGGAGACACCGAACCATGATGAATCCGTGAAGCACCCAACCTTAGCCCTGCTTATGCGAACAGTGGTCCCGCTCGATCGACGACGCGGGCTCCCCTGTGTGAACCTGGCGCGATATGCCTTCGTAACCGCATCCGCACCCGCGACGATACTGATACTTCGAAAACAGTACCGGACCGAGATCACGTTGAATCTTTCGCCCAATCACCCGTTCATTGTTTGGCCATGTTTGGGGCGACAAGGAAAATCGGCGCGAACCCATTATTGGGCCAAGATTTCTGGTTTCTCGGTTTCAATCCATTCCACCCGTTCCCGTTTACCTCAGGACGTCCTAGGGTCCGGCGAGCGCCCCAGGAGGCAACACAGATGGGAAAAAAAAGTGAGTCGGGACTTATCCTCCTCCTCCTCCCCCTCCTCCCCCTCCTCCTCCTCCTCCTCCTCCTCCTCCTCCTCCCTCCTCCTCCTCTCCTCCTCCTCCTCCTCCTCCTCCTCCTCCTCCCTCTCCTCCTCCTCCTCCTCCTCCCTACCCTCTCCTCCTCCCTCCTCCTCCTCCCCCTCCCCCCTACTCCCCCTCCATCCTCCTCCTCCCCCCCCTCCTCCTCCTCCTCCTCCTCCCTCCTCCTCCTCCTCCTCCTCCTCCTCCTCCTCCTCCTCCTCCTCGTCCTCCTCCGGTTCTCTCTTTTCCCCTCCCTTCCGCCTCCTTCTTCCCCCTCTCCACCCCTCTCCTCCTCCTCCTCTCCTCCTCCTACTCCGCTTCCACCTCCTCCTCCTCCTCTTTTTTCCGCCTCCTCCTCCTCCTCCTCCTCCTCCTCCTCCTCCTCCGCTTCCTCCTCCTCCTCCTCCTCCCCCTCCTCCTCCTCAGACGACGACGACGACGACGACGACGACGACGACGACGACGACGACGACGACGACGACGACGACGACAACGAGCCGCCGACGCGCGGCCGCGCAGGGCGGCGGCAGGGCGGGCCCTGCGCGGTGGCGAACGGCGCGAGCAGCTCGGCGAGGCCGTCGACGACCAGCAGGCGCGGGGGCGGCGCGTCCTCGTGCGGCGCCCCCCCTCTCCCCCTGCTCCGCCCAGCGTGGGAGTGAGGGGAGGAACGAGGAGGAGAAATGGTAGGAGGAGGAGGAGGAGGAGGAGGAGGACGAGGAGTAGGAGGGAGGACCAGCGGAAACCCAAGAGTCATCGACGATGTTTGAATAAACTCTCCCTCCGAGCTCCCTCTTCATAGGCCCGTACAAATGTTCATTTACACTGAGGGAACTGCCTCGTTGGAAGACAACCGCTTGAAGAGCCTGAAGCATGCCAAAACATTGTTCTCGGGATTCCAAAGCCACGGATCGACCTGACTTTTGCGTCTTGACGATATTGAATCTTGCCAGAATACAATGTCATGGACTTCAGCACCGCGAATCAACGTAACTGTTCACCCTCATACTCCTGAGTCCCTCCAAGAATAAAACGCTTGGTACTCTGAGCATGAGAATCCGTGAAACTCAAGAGGCGTCCAAGAGGCGCCAAAGACGGCCCCAAGACGGCCCCAAGAGGGGCCCAAGAGGGGGACCGAACTGAAAACTCGAGCCTTCCGCCCCAAGAGGGCCCCAGGAGGCCCCGAGAGGCCCCCAAGAGGCCCCAAGATGCCGCCAAGAGGCCCCCAAGAGGCCCCAGGAGGCCCCCAGGAGGCCCAAAAGAGTCCCCAAGAGGCCCCAGAAGGCTTCAATTATCCCGGCAAAGCAACCTAACAGCGATGTGTAGAAGCATATCTGAAAGCATTCCCCTTAAGATTCAGATGAAAATCCAGTTGTCGAATTCTGCTGTTCTCGCAGTCGTAGTCGCATTCGCGATGACAGTCGCAGCGGCAACGGCAGTCGCAGTCCCAGCCTCAGCCTCAGCCTGCCTCCTCCTCCTCCTCCTCTTTTCTCTCCTGCTCCTCCTCCTCCTCCTCCTCCTCCCTCCTCCTCCTCTTCCTCCTGCTCGTCCTCGTTCTCGGTCCTCCTCGTCCTTGCTCGTCCTCCTGCCTCCTGGTGCTCCTCTCCTCCTCCTCCTCTCTCCTCCTCCTCCTCCTCCTCCTCCTCCTCTCCTCCTCCTCCTCCTCCTCCTCCTCCTCCTGGTAAAGGCCCTCGTTCCTCCTCCTGGGGGGTGCTCTCACTCCCCCCCCCCCTCCTCCTCCTCGTCCTCCTCCTCCTCCTCCTCCTCGTCCTCTCTCCTCCTTTCCCTCCTCCTCCTCCTCCTCCTCCTCCTCCTCCTGGTAGGTCCTCCCCCTCCCCCTCCTCCTCCTCCTCCTCCCTCCTCTGCCTGGTCCGTACTCGTTCTCAGTCCTCCTCGTCTTGACTCGTCTCCTCCTCCTGGGGTTCTCTCCTCATCCTCCCTCCTCCTCCTTCCTCCTCCTCCTCCCCTCCTCCTCCTCCTCACTCCTACTGGTGTCCTCGTTCTCCACCTCCTGGTACTCTCCCCCGCCTCTAGCCCCCACCTCCTCCTCCTCCTCCTCCTCGCCTCGTCCTCGCTCCTCCTCCTCCTCCTCCTCCTCCTCCTCTCCTCCTCCTCCTCCCCCTCCTCCTCCTCCTCCTCCTGGTACTCTCCCCCTCCCCTCCTCCTCCTCCTCCTCCTCTTCCTGGTCCGTCCCTCCTCCCCTGGTCTCCTCCATCCTCCTGCTCGTCCTCCTCCTCTCCTGCTCGTCCTTCTTCTCCTGCTCCTCCTGCTCCTCGTCCTGCTCCTGCTCGTCCTCGTCCTCCTGGTCTTGCTCGTCCTCCTCCTCGTCGTGCTCTTGCCCCTGCTGAAAATGTGGCCCAGGAATGGGAGTTCTGGGAAGTCGAAGAGCACGAAGTTGCCTACAGTTGGCTACGGGCATTCAAAATGTGGCCCGGGAATGGAGTTCTGGGAACTCGAAGAGCACGAAGTGGCCTACAGTTGGCTCCGGGCATTCAAAATGTGGCCCGGGAATGGAGTTCTGGGAAATCGAAGAGCACGAAGTGGCCTACAGTTGGCTCCGGGCATCCAAAATGTGGCCCGGGAATGGAGTTCTGGGAACTCGAAGAGCACGAAGTGGGTGACTGTTGCATCCGGCCCTCCAGAATGTGCCCGGAATGGCGTTCTGGGAACTCGAAGAGCACGAAGTGTGTGACTGTTGCATCCGGTTATTCTAAAATGTGGCCCGGGAATGGAGTTCTGGGAACTCGAAGAGCACGAAGTGTGTGACTGTTGCATCCGGGTATTCAGAATGTGGCCCGGGAATGGAGTTCTGGGAACTCGAAGAGCACGAAGTGTGTGACTGTTGGTGAAAAACGAGCCCGGCACCCTGCCGCCCGGCAACTCCCAACACCTGCCCGGACCCCCCTGTGGAGTGATCTGTGAGCTCTTTTTAGCCCACTAGAAACCTATCAGTCTTCGCTGTTAGGTAAAAATGCCTCCCAGGCGCCCCCGAACGGCTCCTCAAAAGACCCCAAGAGGCCTCCCAAAGAAGCATCTTGACGACGACCCTGTTTGGCCCCAAGAGCAACACAAGATGCCAACGAGAGGCTTCCTCCTCCGCCCCTTCCTCCTCCTCCTCCTCCTCCTCCTCCTCCTCCTCCTTATCTTCATCCTCCTCTCCTTCTCATCCTCTCCTCCTCCTCCTCCCCTCCCCTTCCCCATCCTCATCTTCCTCTTCCTCGGCGGCGCCACAGTGGCCCCGGGCCCACAGCGAAACAATAGCGATCATGCAACATGGGCCGGCGGATCCGAATGAGCGAAGCGATTGAATAAATTCCCCGGAGTCCCTTTTGAGGCCCCCAAACTAACTCGCATCTCGTTTGTACGCCTCTCCGTATGCCTCTTCCTTTCGTCCACACTTTTGCACACCCTCAGGCGTCCTTCCTAAATCATTTTCGGACTCTCTTACGGCTTTCTGGCGTCTTTTAAAATAATGTTCCGGCTCTCCTGGGGCTTTCTGAGAGCCTTTCAGACCCCACTTTCGTATTTTTCCAGGCCCTCTGAGACCTTATTGTCCAATCTGGCGTCTTTTTTAGGTCAGTTTCCGGCTCTCTTGGGGCTTTCCGAGAGTCTTTAAGACCCCACTTAACAAAAGCCCAGCCAAAGCTGAGTGAACACCCCCGCTACATCCCGATTTGCCCCCCACGCAACCTCCGCGTTCCAAAAAAAGTGGGGCGGCGGTGTCTGCCCCCTCAGGGGCGTTCGATTGAATCAATTCTGAAGTCGATCCCCTTCTCGAAGGATGGCCAGCCGCCCCCAAGCTATGGTCCAAACCGCACTCTTCCTCGTGGGAATCCAGACCAGCGCCGACAGCAGAGGTCTCCCTGCCCAGCGCCCCGACCCGACCCGTCCACCGAGGAGGAACGAGGACGCACGATCGAGGGCAGCAGAAGCTGGAGGAGAGCATGAGGAGGGAGGAGAGGGGAGGCGGGGAGGGCCTGTCAGAGGCGACGACGAGGCTCGCCGTGGAGGGTGCGGCGGTCCCGGCCGTCCTTCCCCCCGGGCGCCGCGCACGCCGTCGCCAGCCGCGCGAACGCGGCGAAGTCGGGCACGGAGGCCACCCGGGCGTGGGCCAGCGCCGCGTCCAGGGCCGGCCCGAGCTCGGGGCCTCGGCTCGGCTCAAAAAGAGCTGCCTGCTCCTGCACCTCCTGCTGCTCACCACCAGCCCTCCTCCCTCTTTCCTTCCTTCTCTCTCTCTCTCTCTCTCTCCCTCTCGGGACGCAGGAGAGAAAAGAAAGCATGCCAGCAACGCGCGCCAACGATGCATGCAACACATCGGGCAGAGACGGCCAAACAAAGAATGCGCCCTCGTCTCGGTCGCTGGCTGCGGTCTGGCGGCTCCGTCGGCGAAGCGGGGAGATCTCTCGAGTTGTGCACTCCCCAGTGGGGCGCCGCGACTCCCCGGGGCATCTCTTAGCCTTAAGTCGGGCCTGTCCCCCTACAGGCGGATTTGGAGGGAAAAATATTCAACAAATACAGAAGCTGTCAACAAATACTCAAAAAAACGTCCCCATACGATTTTCTGACTAATCTTGAATGTTCCTCCTGTAGAGGACAGGCCTGACTTCATCTCAACCGCTTGGTCGCACTGCTATGCGCCCCCTTTTGATGATCCTCTGAACGTGTGTTAGCGCCAACGTGCGTTTGCCCTTGGCGGCCCTTCAATACGACGAAGGCGATGTAATGATCTACTGGTGGGGATGAACAGGGGTAAGCACACATCAGGCTAACGCACGTCCTGAGGATCATCGACCCTTTGTTGGCGCAGGCCCGAACCGAAAACATAACCTGTAGCACAAGCGTCTGATAGCAGATCGCTGCCCAAGTGGTGTGGCCAGCACGCGCCCGCCACCAAGCCTGTCCTGTAAGACTTCTGGGCCGCCCGTGGGTTTTTTTGTTCGGCTGACCCGATGGGGGGTCCAGCTGAAGGGGGGTGGTGCAATAGGTTTGGGGCAATAGAATTGCACATGTATTGCGCCAGAGACTTGTATTGCATTGTACAGCAACCAAGGTATTGCCTAAAAGTACTGCACGCGGAAGCCCAGCAATACATCTGCGCACCGGAATATATGGCACGCCCCAAGCCTATTGCAACCCCACAAATCTATTGCACCGAATCTATTGCACCACCCCCTTGTCGCTGGACCCCCTTTTGGGTCAACCCGATCCTTGGACGAACAGGTCCCTAGTAAAATGGGCTCAAAGATGCCGGAACTCTCCGGGGCAGTCTTCTGGACCCCAAGAGGCCCCCACGACGGTCCAAGAGGGCCCCGACGCCGCAAGGCGTCCCAAGAGGACCCCAAGACGGCCCCAGGGGCTCCCAAGAGTGCCCCAGGGCGGTCCGAGAGGCGCCCAAGACGGCTCAAGAGGGCCCCAAGACGGCCCCGAGAGGGGCCCAAGAGGGGGAACAAGCACCGAACATAGAGGCCCCCAAGAAGCCCTAGAGGCCCCAAGAGGCCCCAAAGATGCCCCCAAAATACCCCAAGAGGCCCCCAAACAGCCCCCCAGAGTCTTCAGAGCTATCTCCAGGAGGCCCCCGACAGGTCTCGACGAGATCCCGACGAGCCTCTAAGAGGGCTTAGACCCTCCACCCAGGCACGGTGGCGGGATGGGCCGAAGGTCACTAAAGATGGGCCAGCGATTGCGAACGTCTCTAATTCGGCGTTTCGACATTGGGCGGAAGGGGGGGGGGAATGAGGTCTGGCTCCAGACCTCTGCTTCGTGCGACTGTTTGCAGCAGCGCGTCCTATGGGGGAGACTCCACCTGCTCGAAACAGGCGCACAAAACAGGCAAGACCTTCTCCATGGAGGAGGGGGAGGGGGGAGGGTTGCGAGGGCCCGCGCCAATCGGCAAAACAAGGAAGAAGAAAAGTACCACATATGGGCTGGCGATGAGCAGGTATGTTTGGGTGATGCTGGTCTCACGAAGGGATCCACCCCGACCAGATCTCCCCAGTGCGGCGGCAGCGGGCCCGTCGTGGACAGAATGCGCAGCAAAGACGATCTGCCGCCGCACGGGCCACTCCAGGAAATCAGGCATCCGAGCAAAGCCGACGGTGCGACGGCGAACGCTCCTTGACGATCGAGCAGGACGGAGATCAAGACAGGGGCGATCCAGCAGATGGACAACAGACTCGAACCCAATGCAAGCTTGGAGGAATATACTGACCCCCCCCCCACCCACCCATATCAATGTTGAACTCGCTATGGAGGAGGAGGAGGAGGAGGAGAGGAGGAGGAGGAGGAGGAGGAGGAGGAGGAGGAGGGGGAGGAGGAGGGAGGAGGAGGAGGGGAGGAGGAGGAGAGGAGGAGGAGGAGGAGGAGGAGGAGGGGAGGAGGAGGAGGAGGAGGAAGGAGAGGAGGAGGGGGTGGTGGTGATCTTGGGGGCCCGAATACTATATAATCTTGTCCGCCCCGTCCGGGCTCTGCGCGGGCGGGCGTCTACGCGCCCCGACATTCGGAAGGGTCTCACACATCTGTCAATGCTACCTCCTCTCTGCATTCACCCTTTACATCTTACTCCCATACGCACATACGTTGTTCTTGCCTCTTTCGATCGTCTTCATGCCGCCGAAGTCTCGGCAGCCGGGCACTCCAGTGGGTGGAGCACTGGGCAGCAGTTCCGCAGAGACGCCCCTCGTGTCCACGCCGAGCAGGCAGGAGCTCAAGAAGGCGAGGATCGGGTCCAGCCCATTGCAGGAGATGGACGATGATGTCCCCACGGCACTACAACAGCAGGAGTTTCAGAAGCAGCTCGAGGACGCACAGGATCACACACCACTGACAGTTTCATCCATGGCACGGCTGTTGGATGAACGTCTGACGCCACTCCGTCAGGACATCACGGCAATCAAAGAACATGGAGTCTACCGACACCATCTCGAAGAAGCTCTTCAACCGGTCCGGGAGGACATCGCAGATATTACGCAGCGAGTGGAAGCACTCGAGACTGCATCAGCCCAAGTCACTCCACGCTCTTTCGGTACAGTGGACAGCCGTGCGTCAGTCGAGGCTCGTTTGGCGGAGATGGAGGACATGCTGAAGCACCTGACGACGTCACGAGGGGCTTCGGATTCAACATCTGTGACCGCCATCTTCGGTGGCTTGGATGGCCTCTCTTCCTTGGCGGAGGCCGAGCAGTTCATCAAAGAGGAGCTCCGGAAAGCACAGATCCCACCTCCGACCGAGATGTTCATTAAGGGAGAGCCCTACAATGGACTCGTGTTTGGAAGAATGGCGAACCCCGATGACCTTCAAAGCGCTGTGAAGAGGTTCCGGTCCGAAGCCATCACGTGCTCAGGCAAAAGGGTTTGGGCTAATTTGGATCAGCCGCTACATGTTCGAGTGCCCCTACGTTTCCTTTTTGGTTTAAAAAAGCTCTTGATCAGCTGGGGCTTCGCAGCGAAATCTATCAAGATCGACGACACCACGTGCTCCATGAAGTTCGGGATCGACACCGTGCTGGTGGCCAATACCACTTCTGATCATACGCTGAAACTTACATGGTTGAAGCCGGATTGGAAAACGTTGGAGGCGCTGCACAACGATTTTGATTTCACAGCCTTCCGTGACAAATGCCAGAATTCGTTACAGCAGGCCGCTGACAAGGGCAAGGGAAAAGGAAAACCTGCTAGGCAGGAGTAGGGACAGCACCGGTCAAACCAAGTTTCACCCCCTACCTTGACAGGGGAACTTCACATTTACACAAAGAATGCAAGATTAAGGACGAACGCACAATTGACAGAGTAATTATCAGAGCTTGTAGGCATACAGTGGAATATTGTTTTATTCAGCGAGACGCGGGCACCGTCATCTGAACTCACACTCGAGGGCGGCCACAAATTGTTTCTCGATCTGGGGGACTCTATGTCGCTGCAGGCGTCGGCATCTTGGTACACGAGCGCCACGTCCCCAACATCAAAAAAGTCCGTAAATGCAGCTGATACATAGTCGTGTGTACACATGCTTCGCAGTATATGTGCCGCATGCTGGATTTGCCGAGGATGCCCTCGATTCGTTTTACAATGACCTCGATGGCATGGTGCGCACGTCCCAGAAGCAGAACAAGAACAGCCTTGATGTCATTGGGGGAGATTGGAATTCTCAGTTCAATATTGGGCCCCGTGGTCAGAGACTAAACGAATTTACAGCGGCACACGGCCTTCAAATTGCGAATTTCCCGCCAAAGCTTCAGTACGCTGACCTCTGGACGTTCCGCTCAAGCATGGGCATTACAAGGTGCATCGATTTCAGTCTGCTGCCACGCGCGGCGCGGGTGGAGCAGAGTACAGCTGTCAATTCTATGTGTTTGGGCTCCGACCACAGAGCTGTATACGCATGTGTACGTACCAAAACATCTGGCCAGAGGCGCAGAACCAGGTATGACCCTCGAGGTTGGGAGCCTGGCGATGATCGTGCGTATTGTCACGACGTGGATGTATACTTGCGGGCGTATCCGCCAACTTGCCTTTCCGATCTTGATATTTGCGTGACCACTGTTGCGCCAGGGCGTGACAAACGAACGAGCAATCAGCCAGCCTTCTGGGCCGACGGTGCTTTCCAAGATCTTCTCCGCCAGCGTCGTTCTCTCCCAAGCGGGTCTGCAGGCAGAAGGGACATCTCCATGCGAATTCGCAGGGCAGTGCGGGCCGAACTCCGGAGACAGAAGGCCATGCGCACCCAGCAAGTTCTGACTGAGTTCCGTGACCTACACCGACTCGCAGAGGCAAAACTGTTTCCGGCACGGAAGCGGAAGGAATTGGGTGACGCAAAATGTGCCCCTGAAGCATTGACAGGGTTTCTGGCTGACATATTCTCTTCCTCTGAAGAAGTACCTGCGGAACTATCGGGTCATCGAGGTCCCTTCAACGTTCCTGCATTCACGAAGGCAGAGCTTGGCAAAGCAATCAAGGTGCTGAACAACAGGAGAGGCGCCGACACAGACGGCATCGTCGCAGAAATGTTCAAGCATGCCTCCAACAATTTCCTGGACTACCTGCTACACATGTATAACGATATGGTGCGCACGGGGCTTCTGGAGGATTCGTGGAAAGACATTTTGTTTACCATGCTGCCCAAGACCGGGGACCTGTCGCAGCCGAAGAATTGGAGGCCGATCGCTGTCCTCAAGATGACCTACAAAGTATTCTCTCGGATGCTCTACCACCGGCTACGGGACGTCCTGGAACGTGCTCAGGGGCCCGATCAAGTTGGCTTCAGGAAAAAGCATTCGGTAGAAGATGCCTTCTTGGTTTTCGAAGTTACTGGCAGCAAATGCTTCGAATGGGGCGTGCCGCTCTGGTGCGCAAGTCTCGACTTACGGAAGGCATTCGACAGGATCGAATATGCTTCCTTGTTCCGAGCCCTACGTAGCCAAGGTGTGGATGCAGACCACGTCGCTCTGTTGGCAGCGTCGTACTCCAACCAGACGGGTTACGTAGCCGGGGCGCAGCCATTCCCAATACAACGCGGAGTCAAACAAGGAGACGTCATCAGCCCAATGTTGTTCAATGCTGGGTTAGAAATGGCGATGACAAGATGGAAACGACGGGTAGGGGATGTTGGTGTCCCTCTGGGGAATGGGAGGCTGCTCACGAATGTTCGACACGCAGATGACATTATGCTCTACGCACAGTCTGCAGACGAGTTGGCGAACATGCTGGAAGTGCTGATGGAGGACTTGGCAGCCGTTGGCTTGCACCTGAACCCGGACAAGACGAAGGTTCTCACTTCCGAGGAGACGGCTGGAGCCATGTTTATCGAGGTTGAAAACAACATGCTTAAGGTCATGAGCGGCACGGACACGCACAAATATTTAGGGAAGACGTTGCCGGCGAACCTTAAGGACCGCACCACAACTGAACTAAGACAACGACTTCGACGAGCTTGGCAGCAATTTCATGAACATCGTCACGCGCTCACAGACCAAAATGTGTCGGTTCGCCTGAGGCTCAAGTTATTTCAATCGGTGGTTACGCCGACTTTGTTCTTTGGGCTGGCATGTCTGCCTCTGACCAAGCAACAGCTGGGGTCTCTAGACGTCATTCAAAACAAAACGCTCCGCTTGATTGTTGGATGGAGAAGAGTCGACGGAGAAGAGTGGGCGGACACTATGCGACGCATGAGGGACAGAGTCAACGATGCCTTGGTGCATTTTCCAATTGACAATTGGAGCGCCCTGTTCTGTCGCCGCTGGTTTAAACTTGCTCGGAAGTCAGTCGATTCAGAAACTGATTGGGTTCATGCAGTTATCGGATGGAGACCGGCGAGCACGCACGGCGCCTCGAGGGTGCAAGGCCGTCCGCCAACAAGATGGGACGACCGGCTGGCATCTTTCACGCGTGATATTTTGAACACGGCATCTCACTGGACTACAAGCATTGCAGAAGAGGACGAGGACGCGCTCGTGGAGTACTGCTTGCAGACGTAAGGACGGGCCACTTTTCTCCCTCCCCCCCTCCCTCCCGTCCTCCTCCTCCTCCCCTTCCCTCCCCCCCCTCTGCGCAGTGGCACAAAGCTTGCACACTCGTCTTGCACGTCCTTCACATCATGCATGCAGGTCGCACTGCTTTTGATTTTCCAAGTCGTGCCCCGCCCGTTCACGGGCCAACCTATTGGTTTGACCGGGCCTCTGCTGCTGCTGGAGATCAAGGCAGGGGCGACCCAGCAGATGGACAATAGAGACTCGAACCCAATGCAAGCCTGGCGGAATATACTGACCCCCCCCCGCCCACCCATATCAATGTTGAACTCGCTATGGGTGGTAGTGATCTTGAGGGTGCCGGCCCCGTGTGGGAGCCAAGGGGCTCCCCGGCAGGAGGAGGAGGAGGAGGAGGAGGAGGAGGAGGAGCAGGAGGAGGAGGAGGAGGAGGAGGAGGAGGAGGACCAGTGTAAAGACTCCAGCCCCCCGGGGCGCGCGGGGCCGGGCCCTGAAGCACCGGGAGTGGGGCCGCTCCGGGACCGACTCCTGCGCGGCTGGCCGCCGGGAGGCCTCCCCTCCCCACCAGTGGGCAGGGTCGGGATAGCAGAGGCAGCACTCGGCGAGGCCTCGAGGAGGGTACCGTCAACGCTGCGGGTGGACCTCTCACCTCCCGCTGCTCGTCCTCCTCGTCCTCGTCCTCGTCCTTTGTCCTCCTCCACCGCCTCCGCTCCGTCCCTGCCCTTCCTCCCTCCGTCTCCCCTCCCGCGGGCGAGCGCGAGATCTGGGCCCAGACTCGCTCGAACTAGCGCTGCCCGGTCCAGCCCTTGCGCTGCAACGTCCAGATGTGTCCTAATAAATTGCCGCCCTGTGCAGATTCACGCCGGGAGAGGCGCGGGACCTAGCTCTCACGGCCGGGGGGGGGGCGCTATGCACCGATCCCCTCACTCGGAAGTGGTATGTCCGAACTTTCGTTGGCAATCGCGGTGCAGCATCATTGGTGCGTGTGCAACCTGCGAGAACAAATTCACTGATACCCGCTGATGTGAAAGCGCGGGATTTCTCAGTCAGACCGCCCCGCCCAAATGAGCCGCCACCCGCTTGCCGCGAACACCCCAACACGCCGCTAAGCCGCGGGCAGCTCCTGAAGAACTCTTTCAACAGAGCACAGCTCCATGCTGCATACAAGGCATGGCGCTTTTGTATCACCACGTGTACTAGCATGCTGATCTTCGTTACCGCCGCCGCGATCATACAGACATGCCGGATTGATTCAAATGCGTAGACCGATGGACAAGAACAGCTTGAACAGAACGGTGGAAAGCCAAGACGACACCCAGAACTGCGCGGCGTATAGATGACGCTGTTTTCCACGGCTTGGGTGACTTTTTGGAACGGAACACGTCGGCAATCACCACACGCGTCCTTATCCGATCAACATGCGTAGACTGTGTAATTATTGCCGCAGCCAACCAGCTCTGCCGTCGAGACCAACATCAGAGAGAACACGGTTCGTGGACGCATGCTTGGAAGAAATCCCTGGACACGTCCGAACCGCCCCCCCCCTAAAACTTCACTTGGAACGCCTGGAGAAGCGGCCCTCCCTCCCTCTTAGACGGCATCTCTACCTGGGGGGGGGCGCCTCCAAGGCAGGGTGGGTTCGAACCGCCGCCCCCTCCCCCTGTCCAAAGGGGGGGGCGGGGTCAAACCGCCTCCCCCCTTCATAGAAGCTTGGCAGGGCTCGATCAAGCTCTATGAGATTCCTAATATAGCTGGGTCTAACTTTAATAGCATCCCAGGCGGGCTCGATCCTACTCTAAGGGAATCCAAATAGCTGGATCCAGCTCTAATTGGATCCTACTAGGGCTCGACTAACATAATCCTGCGATAGCTAGACCCAACTTTAATAGCATTCTAGTCGGGCTCGAACAAACTGTTATATAATCCTACTATAGCTGGATCCAGCCCTCACTGGATCACACTAAGCCTCGACTCTCATCAAAGATAGTCCCACTATAGTTAGGTCCAGTTCTACTTGACTGCTACCAGGGCCCGATCCAGCCCCCATCGGATCTCACTAGGGCTCGATCCAGCCTTGATCGCATCCTACGAAGGCTCGGTCGTCGTCGTCGTCGTCTCCGTCGTCGCCCGACGGCGCTGGCGCCCGCGCTCGCCATCGTCGGTTGCTACTGGGGCGAGAGGGGGGGGGGTGTCGAATACCCCCACTCTGCAATTCGGGCCGGTTCGAGCCCCCCTCCTTGAGGGAGGAGGGGGGGCGGGGCGGCTCGCACCCCCCCCTTGAACTTCAATCGGCAACGCGCAGCGGGGGGCAGGGGGAGGGGGGAAGGCTTCTTAGAAGCACCCCTGCTTCTCAGGAGGCGCGGGCCTTCTCTGTAGACGTAAGGCCGAGGCCTCCTAAGAAGCAGGGTGCTTCTAAGAAGCCTCCCCCCATCCCCCTACCCCCTTTTGCGCGCTGCCACTTCAAGAGGGAAGGGCCGGTTCGATCCCCGCCCCTTCCCAGCGTCCACAGAAGGCGCTCTCTTCAACATCGTCGTCGGTACCTTCCCCATGTCGCCATCATCATCATCATCATCATCATCATCATCATCACGCTCTCGGATTCGCCAAAGGAGTCTCCTCGAGGTACGTTCGGCAACGCCCGGTGGCCCCGCAAAGCGCGCGCACAGCAGCTGCCGCAGCCTGCGCGCCAGCGCGGACGGCGCGTCCATGGCGGTAGCGAACAGAACCTCAGGGCAGCGCGTGAGAGCGACAGGAGCCTTCTTCTCCTCCTCCCTTTCCCTTCAAATCCGCCGACCCACCCTGTCGGCGTGTGAGGGGCCCGTCTGCTCTAGTCGTCGTCTCCGTCAGTCGTCGTCCAAGTCGTCCCACTTTCCCTGCACCCTCCTCCTCAAGCCTGCCAGCGAGAGCAAAGTCAAGCAGCGTCGTGCTCGAATTGAAGGGAGGTCCCTTCTCTTTGATCTCCTTTCCGTCCGTCGGGGGGGAGGAGGAGGCGGGTCTCAGGGGGGCGTCCCAGGGGCCCCCAAACAGCCCAAGAGGACCACAAGACAACCCAAAACGCCTCCAAGACGGCCCAAGGGGCCCCGAAGAGGGCTCCAAGCGCGTGCGTGCCCAGACGGGGGACCCGAACAGACATTTCGAGCCCTCGGCCCTGAGACGCTCCCAGGAGGCCCCAAGAGGTTCCCAAGAGGCCCCAAGAGGCCCACAAGAGCTCCCCGGGAAGCCCGAGGAGGCTCCCAAGAGGCTCCCGAGAGGCCCCCGAGAGGCTCCCAAGAAAACTCCACAACAGAGGCCCACCGGAGAGCCTTCCGAAGAGACCCCAAGAAGCATCCCTGAGGACTCTCGCCCACGTCAGCGTCGCGCCGCCGCCGCCGATGACGTCGCCGTCGCCCTTCCGGTTCCTCCTCTCTCCTCCTCTCTCCTCCTCCTCCTCCTCCTCCTCCTCCTCCTCCTCCTCCTCCTCCTCCTCCTCCTCCTCCTCCTCCTCCTTAGGGTCGGCGGCACCGGCCCCAAGGCCCTGGCCAGACGCCCGCGGCGTCGCACCACCGGCCGCGCCGGCAGGGCGGGCCAGGCGCTCCGCCGGAGCCTCCACGCGACGCCCGAGGTCACTGCACCGACCTTGCAGACGTTACCAGCCTGGAACATATCCCTATCCCTATGCTGGGCATCGCCCCATCGCGATGCAAATCTTAGGGATTCCCTCAGCTTTTGAGGGCGCATCCCTAAGATTGCCATCGCCGTTCGGCGTGTCAATCTTAGGGATAGGGATCAGTTCGAGGCTGGTGAAGACGTGCTGCAGCGGATTTTGCATGGATTGCTGTTAATGTAAAACCCCGAGCTGGCTAGCGAAAAACGGAGTGAACTTCGCGTGGGTTGTTCTTAGTCTTCACTCCTGGCCAGCAAGAAACCTCGCGAAAGTCGCCTCGAACTCCGGAACGACGTTCTACAGGACACTCTGGGCCCACCCTATTGTTTTCCGTACGAAATCCGCTCTGCGATGTTGGCGCCATGAGAGGTGCTGCGCTCAGGGGTCGTCCAGCGCCGTCAGCCGACGCTTCGCATGGTGGGCTTGTTTTCCACCACCACCACCACCACCACCACCACCACCACCACCACCACCACCACCAGAAGCAGGAGGGGGAGGGGGTCCTCCTCCACCTCTTCCTCCTCCTCCTCTACCTCCTTCCCCCCTCCAACTTATGGCGGCGGTGGTGGAAAATAGGTCCATCAGCTTCGCAGGCTCGCCGTGCAGCGCCTCCCGCATCCTTCGATGCGGGTCCTCCAGCACTGCCGCCGTCGCTATAACGCGGCCAGCTCGGCGGGAGTCAGCCTGGGACCCGCAGCGGGCCTGGGTGGCGCCCCCAGCCTCGCTGGCCCCCGCCAGCGTTAGGTCGGGCGTGTCCCCCCACAGGCGGATTTTGGACGAAGAATAATCACAAAATGCCCCCAAATGGTCGTACATAGCCCAAAATACTGAAAACAAAAAAACACACTATTGTTTGACGACTTTTAAATATTCCTCCTGTAGAGGGACGTGCCCGACTTGACGCTAACGCGACCGGCTCGTCGGGAGTTAGCCTGGGACCCGTCGCGGGACCTCTGTGGCGCCCCCGGCCTCGCTGGCCCCCGCCAGCGAGGATCGCCTTCGGGCCACAGGTGCCGAGGACGCGAGCCAGCAGCGCCGTCTTCAGCCCGTCCGCGCGATGCCGCATTAGCTCGTCTCTGACGGCCATCTGCTCGACATTGCGCGGGCTCCGCAAGGTTCCTCGCGCTGGCACTCGGGGACCCTCGGCGCCGACAGCTCGCCGCCTCCGAGGTTCCTCGGTCTCGGTCGCTTTCGCGGATCCTCCCGCTGGGGATCTCTCGTCGCTGCCCTGGTAGGCTCACTCCCGGTTGCGCGAGCTCGGTCGGTCATGTCCGCAGAGAGCCTCACCGGCGAGAGAGACGCACCAGACTGTAGGCTGGTAACAAAAATCCTGCCGTTGTCGTCGCCGCGTCGGTCGTTCCCTCTTCCCCTCTGTCTGTTCCGTGCGCGTAGCAATGAGCCGTAAGCGTGGTAGCAGCATGGCTACCTACAGGCGAATCGAAGGCAGGGGGTAAAGGGGGGGCAACGAGGCCTTTCACGCCCCAGCCCGGGCCAGACGTCCGCTCTTCCACTGCCCCGCAAACGGTCTCGAAGGGCTTGAGAACTGAACCGAACTTCTCCTCCTCCCCCTCTTCCCTCCTCCTCCTCCTCCTCCTCCTCCTCCTCCTCCTCCTCCTCCTCCTCCTCCTCCTCCTCCTCCTCCTTCCTCTTCCTCCTCCTCTCCTCCTACCTCCTCCTCCTCCTCCTCCTCCTCCTCCTCCTCCTCCTCCTCCTCCTCCTCCTCCTCCTCCTCCTCCTCCTCTCCTCTCCTCCTCCTCCTCCTCCTCCTCCTCCTCCCTCCTCCTCCTCCTCCTCCTCCTCCTCCTCCTCCTCCTCCTCCTCCGTCCTCCTCCTCCTCCTCCTCCTCCGCTCCGTGCCGCTCCCGCCGCGGGGCACCGGCAGGCCGCTGGCGCAGAAGTGGGCGGCCACGGTGAGGCCGAGCTGCGTCTTGCCGGCGCCTCGGCGGCTGCCCCCTCCTCCTCCTCCTCCTCCTCCTCCTCCTCCTCCTCCTCCTCCTCCTCATCCTCCTCCTCCTCCTCCGTCCGCCCTCCTCCTCCTCCTCCCCCTCCTCCTCCTCCTCCGTCCGCCCCCCTCCGTCCGCCCACTCGACGCGGCGACGCGGCGCGCTCCTGCGACCTCATCTGTCCGGACCCCATCTGGGAAACGTAGCTCTTGCTCCCCTGACTCCACTGAAGGGGCCCTGGGACACGCAAATAAATAGACACAAATCACAGGATTCCCCATGTCTTACCATGTGTTCAGGGTTTCTGTCTTCCCCCCCACTGCCCATGTTTTCCCATGCCTTCCAGGGGATCGACGATGAATTGTGTCTGTGTGTGTGTTTTCTCCCCTCCTGATCCACGAGCCGCCCTTGGGGCCCTCCTGGGAGCCCTCCCCGGGCCTCGGGGGGCGGACGCGGCCGCGGCGCCGCACCCGCGCGCGCACGCGCGCCTCGGGCCTGTCGCCTCTCGCCCGCTGGCGGGCTGTCGTCGCCGGCCTCGTCGCCGCGCCGCGGGAGCGCCCTGCCACGCACCGCCGGGGCGGCCCTCATGTCTGGGCGACCCAAAAGGCTGGGTAGTCGAAGGCCAGACTGTCAGATTGGGTTGGGCCCCAAAGGCCAATCTGGCCTGGTCAAACTGGATGATTTGGGTTATTCGCCAGATTGGATTCGCGTTGGCTCACTCGCCAGATTGCCCCCGTTTGCCAGATTGGGCCTGCCAGATTGGCGCCAGATTGGCTTCGACTACCCAGAAAGGGGGTCCAGCTGCAAGGGGGTGGTGCAATAGATCTGAGGCACTTGTTTTGCAAACGTACTGCGCCGGAGAGTTGTATTGCCTTGTCTTGCAACTAAGGTATTGCAGGCGAAAATCCAGCAATACCTTTGCGCCCCGGAATGTACTGCACGCCCCACATGTATGGCAGCCCCACAAATCGATTGCACCAAATCTATTGCACCACCCCCTTGTCGCTGGACCCCCTTTTGGGTAAACCCGATCATTGGTGGGGATGCTGATCGACGTAAGTGACACATGTCACAACACAAAAAAAACTGCACTCGGACCTGGGCCAGAAGAGCATCCTGCAAGACCGTGTGACCCTCCGTCGGTCAAGGCAAGCGGCACATCCAGGGGCACCATCCCGAGGATGCGCAGGAACACTCAACAGACACAAAGAATACTCGGGCACCCTCCTCGAACCGACCTCGATCTTATACCTCGGCCCGACTGTAGCAGAAGCGGCAAATGAAACAACTTACGCCTTCTGGTGAACCATGCTTTGCGCCTCGCGGTCTGAAACAGTGGCTTCTTCGCCGACGCGCGGCCAGCTGCGCTGCCTCCCTGGCCATAGGTCCCGTGTTACGAGCTCGGCAACAGTAACTTGGGCTCGGTGTGGCGTTGTTCCTTGGTCAGGAAACGCCTCCGAACGATGCCAAATCATGTGGGCGACGGTCAAAAAGGGGTCTCACGCGAGACGGCACAGCGACCTTACGCGGCGGCTTACGCGGGCCGCCAGCGCGGCACACCGCATTGGAAACGAGGGCGCGCACGCGCGACCTTACGCGAGCAGCTTACGCGCCAAAGTCGGCACAACCGACGCCCTTTTGTTGCGTCGCCCATGTGTGGGTGACCACCTCTTGGCGCTTAGCGTAGTCCCGCCAGCCCATCCAAAAACAACCGCCAGGCGAGTTGCACGGACCAGGGATGTGCAGCAGAATGAATTCACGCTCCAGGGATCCTCTTGGAGGCATCGTGGGGCTATGACGCCGTATTGGAACCACTTTGGAACCCTTGTGGAGGCTACCACCAAGCACGTCCCCCCCACCATCGGAGGCAGCAGAATGGCCTCTTGGGGCCACGCTGGGGCGTTCGTGGGGCGCTCTCGAGCGCTCTCGGGGCCGTCGTGGGTTCCGCCTGGGCCATCATGAAACCATCCTGAAGTCTCGAAAGCCAGTTGGAAGCGAGAGTGCGATACTATGGCAAAGCAGTGATTGATTGTTCTGAGGTTGTTGGATGCTTTTGGCCTTCCCCGGGGTCCTTGGGAGGCTCCGCTGGCATTTGGAATTGTGATGGGGCGGTCTTGGGAATTATTGGCAGCGCGTTGGAAGCTATCAGCTGTCGGGAACAATCTTGGACTATAGTGTACGATCTTGGAGGCTATCTCGGGTTAGTTGGAACACTCTTGGGGCCATCTTGGGGCCATACCAGACCTTCCAACGACCCGCAGGAAGCCTCTTCCAAACCCACGGAAACGGATTAGAAGGAGAGGTATCCCCCCGAAGAGCAGAAGGAGGTTCGAGCAACTCATCTGCTAAACCACCTACGCCCAAAAGGCTGGTGGAATCTGGTTGCCTTTGTGCACAACGGTTATATCATGCATTTCCTCGTCAACCTCCGTCTCTTTCCTCCCCTCCCCCTTTGGCCTGAGAACCCCGACAGAAGTTGGTTCAAGATAGCTTCCGACATGCCTCCACGAGGCCCGACGAGGGCCACAAGACGGACCCAAGTGCTCTCGGAGCCCCCTTCAGGACCCCCCCAAGAGGCCACAATCCTTCACAAAAGCCAGAAATGAAACTCCGCCGACCCCTTGGGGATCATCGGCGTGAAAGATGCTCCCCCCTCCCCAAACCTCTCCCCCCGGAGCCCGGTCCGGTCGATTTGGAGGGGGGGCAGTAGGGTCCGGCCCTTCCAGGGCCCCTTGTGGAGGTCCACGACAGCTTCTGGGGCCGCCCAAGAAGCCCCCAAGACGGTCCAAAAGGGCCCCGAGACGCCGAAAGATCGTTCCAAGACGCCTAACATGGGCCGAAAGATCGTTCCAAGACGCCTAACATGGGCCGAAGACGGCCCAAGAGGCCGCCAAGACGTTCCAAGAGACCTCCCAGGAGGCCTCCAAGAGGCCAACATTGACAAATTCCCTGAAGAAAACGTGCATGTCTAGCACGTACGATTTTTCCGCCTTCGCAGCGCGGAAGCCCTTCCAAGATGCCTCCAAGACCGCCCTAAGACGGCCCCATAGGCTCCCAAGAAGCCTCCAACACGGCACAAAAGGCGCCCAAAACGATCCAAAAGGGCTCCAAGACGGCCCCAAGAGGGGCCCGAAAGGGGGACCACGAAACGAACATTCCAGCCGTCCGCCCCTGGAGGCTCCCAGGAGGCCACAAGAGGCTCAAAAAGGCGTCCAGACGCCCCCAAAAGGCCCCCAAAAGGCCCCAAGAGGCTCCCCACAGGCCTCCAAGAGGCCCCAAGGGGCCCCAAGAGGCCCTCAAATCGGCTTCGATATTTGATGGTTCGGCCTTCACAGCGCGGAAGTCCCTCCAAGATGCCTCCAAGACCGCCCTAAGACGGCCCCATAGGCTCCCAAACCAGAACGGACACTTCGAACCTTCGGCTCCAAGACGCCCCCAACGTGCCCCAGGAACCCCCAGGAAGCCCCCAAGAACAACAAAGGGGTCGGCGGTGTGGCGTAAGCCTAAGATCAGTCAATGGTTGGTGCCTTCTCGCATTTTCGCTGCTGGTGCGCTTGGGAAGATGGGGAGGGTGTATGAAAAGGAGGGCGGGGGGAAAGGCCCCAAAGAAGTCCCCAAGAGGCCCAAAGAAACTCCCAGGAGGCCTCCAGGAGGCCCCCAAGACCCCGCGACGACGTGACTGTACGTGCTCCGGACGTGCACCCCGCGAAGCGAGAGGAATCAGTCAATGGTTGGTGCCTTCTCGCATTTTCGCTGCTGGTGCGCTTTTGAGGCCTGGAGATGGCCCCAACATGGCCCAAAGGAGCCCCAGGATGGGCCCAAGAGGCCCCCAAGACAGCCCCAAGAGCGCCCAAGATCACCGCAAAAGCGCCCCAAGGGGCGATTTCGAGGGCTTCAGAAAGGGGGAACCAAACGTTTGGACCCGTCTCTTTTCACCGACGCCCTCCACGATAGCACCGAGAGGCTCTCCAGGGCTCCCAAGAGGCCCACGCGAGAGCCCCAAGAGGGCTCCAAGATGGGCCCAAGACCTTCCAAAAGAGTCCCGAGAGGACACCACGATCCCCCCCCAAAAAAACCCGAGAGGGCTCCAAGAGGAGCGTTTGAGGGCTCGGCTCTCGTGCTCGTTGTCCTCCTCCTCCTCCTCCTCCTCCTCCTCCTCCTCTGCTCCTACTCCTCCTGCTCCTCCTCCTCCTCCTCATCATCCTCCTCCTCCTCCTCCTCCCCCTCCTCATCCTTCTCCGCCTCCTCCTCGTCCTTGCCATCCTCGTCGTCAGGTTCCGTTTCCTCCTCGCTGAGTTGTCGTGGTCGTGTCGTCGTCGTCGTCGTCGACTTCCTCCTCGTCCACGTCCTCTTCCTCCTCTTCCTCGTCCCCCTCGTCGTCCTCCTCCTCCTTCTGCTCCTCATCCTTCTCCCCTCGCCTCCAAACGGGCCCCAGGGATGGCCCGAAGAAGGCCTACAAAACCACACCACCCCCTTGCTCCACAGATCTATCTGTTCACCCTGGTTGCCCGATTTGTTTCACCATATGATGTGTCTCTTCGTCCCTTTCCCCACCAGCTCTCATGGGCAGGGTTTCTGAAATGGCCGGTGGGGGTACGCGAAGCATGAATAATATATATATATATATATATATATATATATATATATATATTGCCTCCGAATCTTGAGAATGCGCGGGCGCCCTGCGACCACTGTACGCTTGTGTTGGACAGGGACGGCAGGGAGGGGCTCATATTGCTTGCTGCGTTCAGGCCAACTACCCCGTTTTCACAAGACAATGAAGCATACGATGTGCCTCCAAATCTGAAGCATGCGCGGGCGCCCCGCGACCACTTCGCATTGGTGTTTGGCAAGGACACCCGGGCGCTACTGATGTGTTTGGGGGAGGCGGGAGGGAATGAGCGAGACGGCTTGTGAGTTGTGGACAGGAGGTGTCTTGATCACTGTTCCCTATTAGTATACACCCCTCTCCCAGGCGACCAGCAGCCAACCAGG